GACAAGGTTTTGTCATCATCAGGTACCTTGACAAAACCTTGTCGAAACATTGTACGTTTGCTGTTATGCTAAACTTATATTAAAGTTTTTCTTCATTACCCATTCAAGCCGTCTCCAACCATTACATATATATAATTTCCAGAAACAAATAATATCATGCTATGATTCACTGGCATCAGAAACCACTAATCCTAAAATATGTGGCAAAAATCATGAGATTGTAGATATATTTTTTCCACATTCCTCTTAACCTGTCCATATTGGCATTGAAACAATTACACCAGCAAAATAATGATTTGGATACAGTATGGAAAAAAATGTGTTACAAATGAACACACAGATATCTTAGAAGTAAATCATCTTCTACAATGCCTACTGTGGCACTGTCTAACATTTAAAAATCAAACACATGCATAGTAGTATATGGAATATTGTATATTTCTAAAGCTAATGAATAAAATAAAATCACTGAAAAACACAATGTTGATATTGAAACAAATTTATTTTATCTAAGGATGTACTGAGCAACTGCTCCTCCTTAGGCTTAACTTAATGGTATAATACATCTTAAAATACAGCAAAATTCTAGTAAAAGCTGTGGAATTGATAAACAATGTTTTACTTTTATTTGATTTTATTGTATTTATCTCCCAACATTGTCAGATTTCAGTTTTCCTGAAAACTTTAATTTCTGCTATGATGACAAAATTAAAAAGTCTTTACACCATCTATAAATACACAATAAGCTCAGGCATTGTTCAATCTTTAGAAAAAATAAAAAATCTACCTGTTATTAAAATACTGTGTACACTTTTCTAGATTGTGTTCCAACAGGCTTACAACGTATGATAAAAATCACACCAAATGTTAATGTTTTTTTTTTTTTATTATCTCAGACAATTTAGACAATGTAGTTACTCAAATGCTTTGCAACAAACCAAAGAATTTTAATGTAATTTATACATGGATGTATTTACATAAAAATAAATTTACTGAAATAAAACTTTATATTTTA